TATCTTTTGAAGAGCTAATCTGAACACCTCAGGTAGATGATCAAAGCCGTCAGCAGCCAGGCCTCAGTCTACCTATCCAGCCTTCTTCTTGGCTAATCTCCTCTATGCATCCTCTGCTTTAGTTCTGGGCTGATGTCCTTTTTCTACCTCCCCTGTCATGCTCCTTCTTGCCCCCAATCCTTTTTTTTTTAATGCTCTTCTCTTCTTACAACCTATCCGAAGACTACCTGACCTTTGAAGTCCAGCCCCAATCCTACTGAAAATGCCCATACATTGTGAATTCTGCCTTTTGTGCCCTCTTAGAGCACTTTCTATTGACCTGGGCATCAGGAGACCTGGATTTGAGGTACAACTCTGCCGCTAATTACCACATCCCTTTCTCCAATTCTTCAGTTCCCTTCTCCGTAAAGTAAGGGGGTATGAAGTAGACGGCCCTTCCACCTCTAATATACTAGGAGTAGAATACCACCCCCACTTCTACCTTCTATGTCCTCCCTCAGAAACCAGAGCTCAATTTGAATGGAAGGGAAGAGGAAAGTTCAGCTCGATTGCTGCCTTGAAATTGTATCTGTTCTGGTCTCCCTCACCACCAGCCTCTTCTAGTCACTAGTCACTACTGTAAGTAGCTAGTGTAAGTGGTAATAGCAGGAAATGCTATTGCAAAGGGGAACCTATAAGTCACATACAAACCGTTGCAAAGATCAAAGGGGCACAATTTACAAATGGTATCATATATTAACCAAAAGCCACATCCTAGTAATAGGTGCTGAATCAGGGGAAGCCATCTAGGTGCTGCTGTTGGGGCCTTTTGTTGCTGTGACGTGTCAATCTCAGACAAGCTCCAGACATCAGTAGTATTACTATCCGATCACCAAATGGTGCTGATAATTTTGAGATCACACGGACATGTTAACTTTATAGTTTTAATGAGAACTTTGACATGATTTGGACGTGTTAATGAACTAACCCCAAGGTGGCACAGATAAGAGTTAGTATGTTCCCCCAAATCCTATAAAAACCAAGTCTCAGACTTCTGCTCCCAATCACTCTTCCATCTCCATCTGGTCCATGTTGCTGAGAGCTCCCAACTCTAATTCACGGTTACATGAGTGACACTCTCTGCCTCTCTCCCTCCCCATCCTCTTCCACCAGATGCCTGCCTTCCTTCACCATCCCATCCCCTGTCCACACGCCGTCTGCATTTGGACTCCTTTTGCTGCTTGTCTATACTTTCTGTGCTATTTGCCCCCTCGCCCTCAGTGGTTATGGAAGCGTGGTTGCTGCCCAGTTTCTTGCTGCCATCATGGTCTTTCTCAGCAAATGCCTAAAGAACTGGGCACGCCTGCCCCCATATCGTCATTTCATAAATTATCAATTCGACTGTGTATCACAATGAAAAGTTCTTACCCTAAAAAGGGCGCTGGGTATAGGTTAAATATGAATATAGGTTAGATAGAGGTCAGGCAGGGTAGGCATCAGGTGCCAAAGCCAAATTTTGTGGGTTCCCCGATTTGGTTCGGAACTAACCTCAGCTAAGATCTGGGTATGCAGGCTTGGGGCGGGGGGAGTAAAGGAGAGGTGTGCTAGAAGGGAGTGGCAGGTGAGGGCCAATACCCAGCAAACAGGGAGCCATCTGCTATCTAATGAAAGCAGCCCTTCCTGTCAGCCCAGTGAGAAAAAATGACTCCATAGGCCCACCGTATAACCCAGGAAAAGGGTTCTCTGGTTCCATGAGGTAATCTGCGCCAGTGATGTATAGCCTGGATAATAGTTTGGGTTAATGATCTTCAGCTGGACCAAGGGGTAAAACAAAGTAATTTCCTAATACAGAGTGTGATGGATTAAAGTGGGTTAATACCAGGGGTATACATTAAGGGAAATGATCTCTCTGGCATACTAAATGGCAAAATAAAAGCACTTTTAGAAACTTCTTTGATTAATTAGTCTGCCCTTTTAGTTATATACCATGATAAAGTAAAACGCATTCCTCCTGGTCACCTCCTAAGCAATTCCTCTAAAGCTTCCAGCAACCACGCCCCCAGCCCCTGGAAGGACCTTCTGGGAGCAGCCCATATACCTCTGTCCAGTCTGACAGGACCCTGCTTTTATCTGGGGATTTTTGGAGAGGAGAAAAAAGCCTGATGTCTGTGTGCAGGAATAGAAAGAATCGCCAGAATTTTTAGCCTCCATACCAGAGCTGGAGTCAGAAGACTTGGATTCTCATTCTGATACTGCCTAGCTATGAGACCTTGGGTAGATCACTTAGATTTCTATTCTATAAAACAAACATGTGGAACTAAATTATCTCTAAGGTTCCTTCCAGCTCTTACTATGGGAGACTTAACTCATACCCCTGAATTCAAGAAAGACTGAATGCATTCAAGTTACCCCACACACAGCTGGGAAGTTGTTACCTGATCCTTTTCTAGGGAACCTCTTTAGGAGGTTTGACTACTCAGGAATGCAACATCTTATGTCTCAGCATTCTGACCAAGCAGTCAGTTCTTCTGAAGACCTGGTCTCCTTTTACAGTATTGCTGGAGAAGTGACTGAAATTTCATTCTGAGGCCTTAGTGGGGAAGAGCCTCTGCTCTTGGCTGGCACGCAACCTCTCTCCTGGGTGTCAATGTTTATGCCAGGTGGGCAACTCTGTCTCCTCCCCTCTAGCTGCTAGGGAAACTCCAGCATGGGGATGGGTTTGCTTGTTTGTTTTGTTTTTATTTTTTCTACCTCTTAGCTTCTTTTTTTTCTTCTTGGTGAGGCATTTGGGGTTGAGTGACTTGCCCAGGGTCATATAGCTAGTGAGTGTTATGCGTCTGAGGTCTGATTTGAACTTAGGTCCTCCTGACTCTAGGGCCGGTGCTCTATCCACTGTGCCACCTAGCTGCCCCACCTCTTAGGTTTAAAACACAGACTTTGGGAACTCTTTCCTGGGAACAAAAATGGAGAAATTCCCTTTTCCTCTAGGACTTTGGTGAGAGGGGACTGTGAGGCTAGCAATTCAGACAAGGGGCAGATAGCTAAGTCTCTTTTCTTTTTTGTTTAACATTTGGGTTGTTTTGATCTAATCGACTGCAAGCTTACTGAGGCCAGGGAGGGAGGGAGAGAGAGAATAAGCATTTATTGAGCACCTAGAATGTGCCAGGTATGTGCTGAGAGTTTTACAAATATTATTTAATCTTTACAACAATCCTGTGAGATGAGTGCTGTTATTGTTTCCACTTTACAGTTGAGTAAACTTTGGCAAATAGAAGTGAATTGATTTGCCTGTCTAATCTCTCTTAGCCTCAGTTTCCTGGGGAACGTCTAAGGCTAGACTTGAATTCAAGTCTTCCTGACTCCAGGTCCAAGGCTTTATCTACTATGCCACCTGGCTGCCTCAGAAAGGGACCGTGCAATATACTTTATCTGTATAATAATCGTAATTATGATCACCATAGTACAATCACTCTCATGTACAATGCTTTACAATTCACAAGGTGCATGCCCATACACTCTTTCATTTGCTTCTCAGCATGGTCTTGTCAGAGAGGCAAGGCAGGGTCTGACAGGGAAGTGCTTGAGGCCAGAGAAGGGAAACTGCTTGTGAGCACAGTGAGTTAGTGGCAGAGCCTAGGCCTCGGGCCTTCTTTTGTTCCTCTAGGTCGCCTAGTGCAGCGCATTTGTCAGGGCCAGCCTCTGCTGATGGTGTTCTGACTTCCACGGGGACCTCCTGATTCCTACCCCTCACTCCATCAAACCTGCCCTTGTCCCTCTGACTCCAGGCCATCATCTGTCAACCCTGGGCTCTCAAGCCCTAGTGTCCTAGAGCCAGAAAGACATTCCCAGCTTTTCTTCCAGAGGTTTACAAATGTGTGAGCATTCCCACCCTGCTCAACTTTGAGAATGAGGATCTCAAGGTGTCCCTCAGGGGCCCAAGACCCTTCTCATCTCCAAACTTCATTATGACACCATATGACACCTCCCCCTCTAAACCTCCTTCTCTTTGGAGCACTTTCCTTCAAGGCTCAGCTCAAATACCACCTATTTTAAAAGGCCTTTCCTGATTCCCCAATTTGTCCCCCATTGCTTTGTGTTTATTTGTATTTGAGGGGAGCCAGCTGTCAGGGCTTTCCGGAGCTAATTGTCAGATTTTCGTGTGAGCATTTACACGTTGGAAATCCACAGAGGCTACTATCAGGGCTTTCTTTATTGTTTTGTTGATTGTCAACTTAAGACAGTGATGGAGAAAATATTAAGAATGAAGATTAAACTTAAAAGCATGTCATACATATATTCCTCCCCTTTTCCCCACAGGTGGGTTGTTGAAGATTTACTAACCCACTCCAGTTTGTATATAACCTTTACTCCTCAGTCCTGAAGAGTAAGGTGTGCCTCCCTTTTGTATTTGTATCTCGGCAGCAAGCACGGGACCTGGAACACAACAGGTCCTTAGGACATGCTCAGTGTTTGCTTGCTTAATTTCCAAAATTGTTGGAGGCTACATGGACTCCAAACTCTAGGAGAGGTTCTTAACCTGGAGTCCATGAACTCAGAATTTTGGATGAAAAATAAAAGATATTTTGATAACTCTATTTAAATATAATTGGTTTCTTTTGTAATTATATTATTCTATTTTATGCATTTAAAATACATTTTTCTGAGAAGAACTCCACAAGCTTCACCAGACAGCCAAAAGTATCTTGGAAGCAGAGATCCTTCCCCCAGGGAAACTCAGAATGTTATAGCTGGAAGGGACCTTAGCAATCAGCCAGGGCATCCCCATCCCTAGCCCCCTTTTTAATTATAAATTTTCTTTTTAAAAAAAAAATTTTTTTCCCCAATGGAGAAGGAAACTGAGACTAAGAGAGATTAGACAGCTTTACCCAAGTCACACAGCTAGGATTAGAACCCAGTTCAGGGTTCTGCATTACCTAGCCACTGTTAGAATCCTTAAAAAAGACAGTGCCCAGGAAGCGCCTTTGAGGCATTTTTGATAACCGTCTTCTCATCCTCTCTAGGCTGAAAGCACCTCCAGGCCTCTCCAAAGCTACCAGGGCATTCCTCGCAAAAGACTTTAATGGGACAGACCTGTGGGACATCAGTCTTGGAGATTCAGCGGAGAGGTGACAGTCACTATGGGAGAGTAGTCCCCTGAGGGTAGTGTATGTTCAGAGAACTCTGTATGAGGTGAGGATGGAGGCCTGCTTGGACAAATCAGGCTGGGTTTCAGAGATGTTGTGGACATTCCTTACACCTTTTGGCAGGACAGGGCCATTTCATTCTTCATTCACCCACTTCGGGGAGGAAAGGCTTTGAAAGGGGAAAGAGACTGCAGGATCCGACAACTGCAGGCGCTGTGCCCCTGTGTGGTTTCGTTTGGGAGCAGAGCGGACCAATCTATTTTCTCCAAATCACAAGCTTGGTTGCCAGCAGGAGAAAAAACAAGCTAATTACTTAAAGTAAGTCTTATAAAAATATGAAAGATAGGCAGATTGTACAATCAGACAAATATAGCCTTTGAAGAGTATGAAGTGCTGATCTAAAATTACATTTAATTATTGTTACATCTTAGACTTTTGAAGGAAATAACACTGAGCAGAAGTGTGACTTTCAAATTAGCATTTGAAAGTGTCTGTGAGGTAGGTGAGGGCTTTAGCAAACCTTGGGGTTTGAACCTAAAATTACATTAACTTATTCGCAGTAACAAAATGAGGTTGATTAGCTATTGTTCAGACTCATCTGTTAAGTCAAAGGATGGCTTTTCTATTAAAATACACATACATAGCCCAAGACAATCACAGGCCGCTCCCTGCACTCCACTGATGTCAACAGTCAACGAGAAATGCCAGATATGTATAAAGAGTAATTTTGTCTCATTAAAGGACAAGTCAAGTGGTTGCTCTTCATCTCCTTAATTCATTTCTTATGGTTTTTCTTGTCACTTCCACGTGCTTTATGGCTTACTAACTTGCAAGTTATAGTTGTAATTTATGGTCAAGATTGAATGCTAGCAAATCACAGAATATTTTCATTGATTACCCTAAATTGTCTAATCTCCTGTATGTTTTTAGGATGTGATTGGGTGGTATTTACTGATTGCCTTCATCTAATTTAAAAATCAATCAATAACAACAATGAGCAGTGGAGGATAAATTGGGTCTAATGCAGCATAACCACAGCAAATGTCTATCAAAGGTCCATTCTCAATCACATTGGTGGGAAGTTTTAATACATAAACCAAAATGTCTAAAAGCTTTCTTTCCAGAGCAGAGTATTGGAAAATGGGGCTCGGCCCCCATGCCATCTCCCTGCTCTTATGCTAGCTATTTAGGGTGATTTCCCACTGCTCAAATGGACATATTTCACTACAATAAAACCGTTGCAAACTCGATAAAAATGAGATCTGCTTGCATTTAAAGGCACTCTCTTCTGTCTTTCTCCATATTATCTGCAGATTATAATGGGAATTAACATAACACCCACTTTTCTTATCTTCCTGCCTGCACTTTTCAAGAGATAAACAGTACTAAGGATTTCTGATGGGAGCTGCCTTGAGAAATCAATTCATTAAACTTGTGCTTTGTATTAGTGGGGTTTCTCTAACCGCTAAGACCTGAAAGTTTTTGATAGCAAGAACCCATTGAAAAAAAAAACCAGCACCATTGGTGGGGGGAAGGGAAGAAATTACACAATTGTTTGAAAGGCAGAAGTTTAGAAAGAGTAAAACTTGTCAGATCATTATCTGAAAAATGGCTGCTTTGGGAGGATTTCTGGGGTGCTCTGCAAATGGTTTGAATTAATTAAGCCAAAAGGCCCGCATAACTCTGCAGGTATATGGCAGAAGCATGATTAAGAAGAACCTCTAGGTGGTGCTAATCCTGGGTCCCACTTCAAACAAATCTCCCATTTAATATTCCTGGGATACTTACTTGTTTGGGGACCAGGAAAACAAGACATACAGTTTTGAGACATGTATCTCTTTTGAGCCAGGGAAGGCCATGACTGCCTAATAAAAGGTGACACTATCAATAGAAGAAAGATGGCCCCACATTCTTTTTTTCAGCCTCAGTTTTCTGTAAAATGAAAGGGTTGGATTTGGTGGTCTCTAGGGACCCTTACCTTTCCAAGTTCTATGAGTATTGCATAGTGTTGTGGCTAGAATGTCGGTTTTGGAGTCCTGAAGACCTGGGTTTAAATTTCACCTCTAAGAAGAGCTCTATGACCTCACACAAGTCTTAATTTCTTTGAGCCTCTGACAACTCTCTAAACTTATCTACTAAGTCACAGGTAGGTTTTGAGCTGTTATTGTATTAGACATTAAGGGGACAATCCATAAATGGTAGCTGGTCTGCAGGTTAGCCTAAAACTTGGTCTTAAACTAATCATCCACTTTTGAATTTTGAAAAGAAGTTGGCCAGTAGAGTTCATTTATTTTATGGTTATTTTTTTGGGGGGGGGGTTTGGTGAGGCAATCAGGGTTAAGTGACTTGCCCAGGGTCACACAGCTAGTAAGTGTCAAGTGTCTGAGGTTAGCTTTGAAATCAGGTCTCCCTGACTCCAGGGCCGGAGTTTTATCCACTGTACCACCTAGCTGTCCCTGAGTTCATTTATTTTAAAAGTTGGAAAATACCTTAAAAATTATCTGGCCCAACCATCTATCCAATAGAGGAATCTCTTCCATAATACCACTGTCAGATAATCATCCAACATCTGCTTGCATACTTCCAAGGATGGGGAGTTCACCATCTCATGAGACAGCCTGTTCCTTGATGATTTCCTGAGCCTGGCCCCCTTTCCTCATTATTCTTCTTTGCTGATCCTAATTCAGGATGTGAACCACACTAGAAAAAATTGTTTTTAGAGTACATGTGTCCCAGAAAAGAGGCTAACTGGGTAAGAATCAAGATGGTATTAAAACAAATACACTGAGTGGATAGAGCACCAGCCCCGATGTCAGGAGGACCTGAATTCAAATCTGGTCTCAGACCAACACTAGTCACTAACTGTGTGACCCTGGGTAAGTCACTTAACACCAATTGCCTAAAAAAAAATACACTGGTGAAAAGATATGGATTTGTGTGGGACCCCAATACCTTCTGCCAGTATGACCCTGTACATGTCGTGTAACTACTCTGCACCTAAGTTTTCTATTTATAAAATGGAAATAATATTAGTACCTCACAGGGTTGTGGAAGGGAAAAGGCTTAACAAAGCCTTGAGATATTATAGAAATATGAATTTTTATTGTTACTGTATCAAGCTTTTAGGCAGAATGCTTTTGGTCACTTTAGAGCCTGTTGACCTAGTGCTACAAAAACAGCCCTGGGCTCCTTTATTCCAAGTTCTGTTTGTTGGTTACTGCTGGCCAGCCTGATCCATGACCACAAGGCCTGCAATCCTAGAGTTATAGATTCAGAGCCAGAAGAGACCTTAGAGGCCATCCAGTTCAAACTCATTTTTTAGATGATGAAATTGAGGTTCAAGGGAGTCAGGTGACTTGCCCAAGGATACCTGAGTAGTAAATGACAGAGGTAATATCTGAACCCAGATCGTCCTACACCACACCCAGTCTCCTGTGCGTAATGCCATCCATAGCTGCTTGTCCCTTTCCACAGCCTAGTGTTTCATTTCATATTTCCCCAGTTTCTCATTCTTGGGCCCACTTTTTGGAGAGGCAGCATGGGATAGTGGACAAAACCCTAGACTGGGAGTCTAAGGACCTAGTTCTGAAGCTTCTTACCCATGTACCTTTATCAGCCTCAATTTCCTGCCTTATCAAATGAGGGAATTAAAATAATCTCTAGGGTCCCTCATTTCTAGGTTTTAATCTGATGACCTCTCATACTCTCTACTAAAATCATTTGGTCCATTTTGTCTCTCTACTACCCCAGTCCTTTCTCTTCTCCTCTCCTCCAGTCTTAAACCACTGGGAGCATCCATCATCGACTGAGGGCTGGCTGTTGTGTGCCTGTCACTGTGCTCATTTGTCCTGGGAATACAAGGCAAGCGTAATACAATATAGTTTATTCAAAGGGTCTGTAGCTTCTGACCTTCAAAGGGGAGTGCTAAGGCTGTAGGGTCTTATGGAGTGGGCTCTCATTTTGTTATCTAGGGACTTTTAGCTTGCGGGTGAGAGCATCAGTGCAGCCTGGTGCATGTTTTAAATGAATTGCTAGAGCACGAGCTGGCCTAACAAACGTCCAGCATAGAATCTTGGGGCAGAAGGAATGGCTTTCTATATACCCTTCTCCCCAAAGAGTAGTCGATTTTGACTCAGTGCTCCACTTCTGCCACTTCCTGGTCCTGCGACTATGGTTATGTCCCTTCATCTCTCAGACGGTCAGTTTCCTCAGGTGTAAAACTGGGATAAAAAGTATTTGCTCTGTCTATCCCATGTGGTTTTTGAGAGGATCAAGAGAGATCATATATGAGAAAGCATTTCTTAAAAAAAGTGTAAGCCGTTATGATCATTATTATAGATCAAGGTTATTATTATAATTAGAGATAGGGACTGGACATTTGATTTCTTTGGCCAAGGGAACTTCAAACGAGAAAAATCCCTTTACTAACTCAGGTTAAGACTCTGTCGGTAACTTAGAGACAGAGAATGGCCTAGAGCGCTGAGAGGGTAAGTGGCTTGTCCAGGGTCACATAGCTGGGATGTATTAGAGGCAGGTTGTTTGAACCCAGGTTTTCTTGGCTTCGAGGCCAACTCTTTATCCACTATGACACACTACCTATGAGATCATTGTTACTATGAGGATGATTATTTGAAAGAAAGGGGTTCAGAGCCATGATTTCATAGTATAGGGAACTTTTGACATGAAAACCCATTCCATTGATGCATTTTGACAATTTATTTGTAATTTTTAGTTGCAGAGATTTGCAGATAAAGAATGGATATAGAATGGGTAAATCAGTTGCTCATGTTGACATAGCTAGTTTATGTCAGAGGCAAATCTTGAAACCAGGTTTTTTTGACCCCAAAGATGGTCCTCTAGTCACTGGACCAAGGATTCTTACCTTTTTGTGTGTCAAGGCCCCTTTGGAAGACTGGTGAAACCTATGGAACACTTCTCACAATAAAATGCATAAAACTCATAGAATGACAGAGGAAATACAATTTATTGAATTACATTGAAATTATATTATATTGAAATACAGCTATCAAAATATATTGACCAAAAAACTAGTTCATAAACTTGAAGTTTAGATGACCTGAGTGATTATATCAATTTGTTTCACGTTATTTTTATTATTGTTATTTACCATTATCCTTGTCCTATCTTCTTAAACTTCATGGTGTTATAGAAGTAGCCCAAAACTGGTAGTCAGGACCTTAGGTCAGTCACTCAATCAGGAATTATGCTTAAATACCGGGGATATAAAAAGAGACAAAAGACAGTCCCTGCTCTCAGAACTTCCAGTCTAATAGGGGAGACAACGTGCAAACAGCTATCTACAAACAAGATATATATTGGATAAATTGGAAATAATCAACAGAAGAAAGACCCTAGATTAAAGGGGATTGGGAAAGGCTTCTTGAAGAAGGTATAATTTTAGTTGGGACTTGAAGGAAGCAGGAATAGCTAGGACACAGAGAGCAGGAAGAGAGTATTTCCCGAGGGACAGCCAATGGAAATGCCTGGACGATGCAGATGGAGTGTCTTGTTTGAGGAGCAGCTGGAAGGCCAAGGTCACTGGAATGAAGAGGTGGCACATTTGTATAAGTTGTAAGAAGACCAGAGGGGTGAGAGTTTGGCTTTTAATACCAAAAAGAAGATTTCCTATTGGATCCTGGAGATGACAGGAAGTCACTATAACCTAGATTATGGAGTCAGCTTTGCCAATAACTTCTAGAATCATCTAATCCTGCCCCTCATTTTGCAGAGGAGAAAATCGACTCGCAGAGAGGAAGGGAGACTTGTCTAAGATGATACGCCATCGAAGTGGCAAAGATGAGTCTGTAGGCTCTAAGGCTAGAATTCCTTTTGCCATATATCTGTGTGACTAGGCAATTGTCTCTCTTTTAAATTTTTTTCTTTTCAAAATAATATTTATTATTTTTTTTTATTTTCATACATCTTCATTTTTGAATGTATACTTTCTCCTCTCCCTTAACTAGCAAACCATCCTTTGTAACAAAGAATTTTAAAAGGAGGAAAAAGCAAAACCAACCAGCATATAAATCTGGTCTGACAGTATTTGCAATGTTCCCCGCATGTTCCCTGCTTGTAGTGGCCCACCTCTGAAATAAAGGAAGAGAAGGTAAGTTTTCTTATCTCTTCTCATAACTTCCCTGGGCTTCAGTTTCCATATCTGCACAATGGGACTAATTATAGCTTCCCTGCCCACCTCATAGAACTATTGTGAGGCTCAGATGGGTGTGAGCATAGTTTGGGATAGGAATAGTCCTCTGACAACATAAAATGGTAAAATGTCCTTTGTCACTAAATCGGCTTTGCAGCCTGTAGCCACCACCCCCTGATGAGAATGCAGACTGACATCTTTCACTGCAAAGGCTGCCAAAGTGAGCTTGGTTGCAACTGGCTGCTTTCTGGTTTATTAAAATGTTGCCATTCTGAGAGCCGATCCTGCCAGGGGCCCTCTTACAATGATCTCTGTATTGCTGTCACAACAGGCTGCTCCCATTACTTATATAAACATGCCATGGGGATATGGTGATGGATATAATTTTTATAAGATTGAAAGGCAGCCATTACAATCATTAAAATCAGAAGGGGAGAGAGAGAGAGAGAGAGAGAGAGAGAGAGAGAGAGAGAGAGAGAGAGAGAGAGAGAGAGAGAGAGTACCTTTCCCAATAATGGAATAGGTTTTGTTACTTCTGTTTTCTTGGTCAGTCGTTAGTTAAAAAGGGAAGGGGAAAAGTGATAGGAGTGGAGGGGACAGTGGGGGAGGGAGGCTGGGCGACCCACAGCGGGACCCAGACAGTGGTGGGGGCTCCTTTCTTTGGACTAAGTTGCACAGAGACAAACGACTTGGGCCCGCATTCCATATACACCGGAGATTGCCTATCGATCCAGATCAGAATATTCAGGCCGGCCCCAGGGAACAGGCCGAGTATTTTCTGAGGAGTTAATAACATGGCAGCTGAGCTGTCTTGTCCAATTCACTGAAGCCCAGGCTCTAATCAGGGCCGAGTTTCTTATTTTGAGAATTCTTGCCATATGTGCCTGCTGACTGCCTTCCACTCTACTGGGCTCCTGTCAGTGATGGAAATGACAGTCTATAGATAGGGGGGCTAATCAAATTGTTTATTATCGGCCTAAATCAATATGTATAGATTGTTGAAACATCACTGTCAGGCAGCCGAAAAGTAATACTGATAATTCTCTGGCTGCAGATGCAGTCTGCATGGCGTATTTCTCCATCTGAATTACATCTGAATTTAGGAGAGTAAAAGCAATTACAGGCAGTGACGAGGGGCTGTGAGCAGTGTGCATGTTTACACATCCCAATAAAATCACATTAGGTATTAATGATGAAATGTCACTTTGTGCCTAGCTTAAATATGTTACCATGTTCTCAGCCAAGGAAAGAGCAAATCTGCATGGGGGGGTGGGGAAGAGAGAGAAAGAGAAGAAAGAGATAAAAGGGAATGGGGGGTGGGAAGGGTAGAGGGCACTGCTGCTCCTCTCATGGTCCTCTGCAGAGCAGGGTGGGGAGCAGCCAGCCTGTTCCCCTAGGGAAGCTTACTAAAAAGGTGGGGACTGGAGCTGTTACACAGGAGCCACCATCATCTGTCAGAGAGAATGGCCTTTCTTCCTTGAGTTGACTTTGGGATCTACTAACAGGTGCACTCACTTATGGAGGCCCCCTTGGACACACCCATTTTCCCTTTCTCTGCTCAAAATCCTTCAGTGGTTCCCCATTGATTCATGAATAAAATACATATGTCTTGGCCTGACAAGTGCAATCTGCCTCCAACCCACCTGGCCAACCTTATTTCATAGTACTCTTTGTGCATACTCTGTTCCAGCCAAAGTGGACTCTAGTATTCCTTAAGCTCACTCTGTCTTCTCCTAACTCCTTGCAATTGTAAACAATGTTCCCCATGCCTTGAATGGACTCATATTACCTTTCGATCTGTTGAAATCTTTCTCTTCCTTCCTTTAAAGTACAGGACAGATGCCACCTTTTTCTATTAGTCAATTAACCAATTAGCATTTATTAAGCTCTTATTATGTACCAGCCACTGTACTAAGCATTGGAAATATAAAGGAAAAAAAATGCAACCAGTCCCTGTACTCAAGGAGCCTAATATTCTAATAGGGGAACAACATGTATGTGTATGGGTACATACAGAATAATAGCCTTGGAAGGTAAGGCTATTGGACTGGGAAAAGCTTCTTAGAGGAAGTGATATTTCAGCTGAGTCTTGAAGAAAATAAGGATTCCATGAGAGTTAGGAAGATGAGCACTACAGGTATGGAGGATGGCTAAGGCACCAATAGGCAACCAATGGAGGAGGAGGTGAGATGGTCAAATCTGTGCTTTGAGAAAATCGCTTTAGCAGCTGTGGAGACAATGGAATAACTTGAGGCAGAGAGTCGAATGAGGAAGCTATTGCAATAGCCCAGGTAAGAGGTGATACAGTCCTGGACTAGGGTGGTGACCATGAGTGGAGACACAGTTGGGGATGTGAGACATGTCCTGGAGGTGGGATCACCAAAGTTTGATGGTCACCAACAGATTGGGTACATGGGCTTAGCAAGGCAGTCGCTAAGCTGGATGACTGAAAAGATGGTGGTGTCTTCAACCGTGATGGGGGAGCCTGGAAGAGGGGAGGGTCTATAATCTCCCTTGCTAGGAATGATACGTCCCTCCCTCTAGGTTCTTAGGCTATTTTGACTTAGTCTGGGGACTGAATCATAGTCTAATTTGGGTTGTGGTAGTGTAAATATGTTATATAAGGGTTATTATTATTGTTATTGTTATTTACATTTTAGTCAACTAAATTAAAACTTATTGGCAGAAGTTGTATTGTTTTTCATCTTTGTATGGGCACTGGGGAAGCATGTTGCAGCTGTAAGAACACCATATCTGATCTGCCATTTATTCTGGAGATCTGGCATTAGTCTCTTCACTTCTGGGCCTTGGTTTCCTCATCTGTAAAATGAAGAGGTTGGACAAGATAGCCTTTGAGGTCCTTTCCAGCTCCAAATCTGTGATCTTATGGGGGTTTTTTTTTTGATCTCATGATTTTTTAAAATTTCTTATCAACACTTTGAAATGAAAGTGTCTTGCTTAATAAATGTTTATTGGAGTGATTCTTTTCTAGATACAAAACCAGTATCTCTTCTCTCTGCCTAGAGAAATTAGGGGAAGCTAAGCCCTTGTCATCTCATTTTCAGAAGTATGGAGGGGCCTAAGGAGATGAAGAGGTGAATTTGGTGTTTCCCAAACTGAGTAACATACTCAAGGACAATGCCCCCCCCCGGGGCAAAACTTAAAGAGGTTGGCCTCCAGAACAGCAGTAGGCAGGTAGGTGATACAGTGCATAGACTGCTGAGCCCAAAGTCAAGAACACCTGAGTTCAAATCCAACCACTGACACTTATTAGTTGTGTGTGTGTGACCCTAGATAAGTCACTTAACCTTTGTCTGCTACAGGTTCTGCATCTGTAAAAAGGGGATGACCACCCGCCCAGGGTTGTTGTGTGGATCAAATGTGATGGAGCATTTTTACAAACCTTAAAGCACTATAGAAACGGAAAGGGTTTTTGTTTTTTTTGTTTTGCTTTTTGGTGATGTAATCAGGGTTAAGTGGCTTGCCCAGGGTCACACAGCTAGTAAGTGTCAAAGGTCAGATTTGAACTCAGGTCCTCCTGACTCCAAGGCTAGAGCTCTATCTATTGCACCACCTACTTGCCCCTGGAAATGGAAGTTATTACAAAAGCAGAGATTGTCTTGTTGTTCAATCATTTTTCAGCTGTGTCTGACTCTTTGTGACTCCATTTGGGGGTGTTCTTGGCAAAGATACTGGAATGGTTTGCCATTTCCTTCTCCAGATAGGGATTGTATCTTTTTTTTCAGTTTTGTATCTTCTATGACCTGCCACAGGTCCTTGCATACCATGGTTGCTCAATATATAAATGTTAGTTAATTTGATTTTTAAAAAAATGCTAGTAATAACAGTCAGGGGTTCTGTGAACAATAGATTTCACTCAACGTAGTTCAATTTCTCTGTGCCTTTGTCCCATATTAAAATTTCACTCAAGTCTGATTTTTAAATGAATTGCTAAAACCATTACTGTTTGAAAACTTGGATCACTTTCCATTTTGTTTCAAGCTGTTGAATGAACTAAAAAATTAAACTTGCCAGATTTTGAATAATGGATTAAATTTGACCAAAATCAGTTGACTCCTTTGAAAGTTAGTGGAGATCAGATAGGCAAATGCAAGATGCCAGAGCAGGGCTATGAGGATATCTCTCCTTATTTGGTCAATTATAATTGGCTGCTACATGCCAAGTGAAGATGCTGCTCCCTCTGCCTCTGACACACTTGATGGCCTCTTTGTCCAGACTCCAGTGCTTCAGTACCTCTGCCTTACTTTCAAATACATCTTTAAAAAGTTAATTTATTTTTTTTCCTGCTTGCCCTAGGCACAAAATGTGCTGGTTAAACTCTGCCTGTTATGGAGGGTTGGTCTATCTTTAGATGAATACAGAACCTACGGGATGGTGAAGGAGAGATACTGAATAGCAGTCTGAAGAATGCATTGCGTTCACTGTTGTGTGACATTTTCAGAGCAGCAATGCACACCTTGCACCCTTAAACTACTTTCAGAACTTGTTTTTATACCTGCCTTTTAGGCAGCCAAGTAGATAATGTGTTGGACCTGGAGTCAGGAAGACCTAAGTTCATATTTTCCCACAGATACTTATCTAAGTGTACATGAGTGTGTAACCCTGACAAAGCCACATAATCATACTGTGCCTCAGTCTCCTAATCTGTAGAATGAGGGGGTTTAAGGTCTTCTAACTCTATATCTATGCTCCCTTTATCCTTCCTTTCTTTCTGCTCCAAGACACACAGCTACCTTTGCGTGGGGGAGCGTTCCAACTTATGTATGTGCCTCTTAAGCCACCTTTTAATTTCTTTTCTTCTTTTCACTTATTATCCCAATGTTAAAGACAATGAGAAACCATTTACCAGCCTGCTCTGCTCTTCAACAGAGAAAAGTTTAATAAATCAAATCATCACAACCTAATCTCAGGCATGTGGAAGTCTTTCTATTTTGCCAAGCTCAAACAGACACAATCCTTCATTCGACTCCCACTGGACTCTCACCTGGAGTGCTGCAATAGACTCCTAATTAGACCATGCCTCAAGTCTCTCTTCGTTTTAATTCATCTTCCATTCAGCCGTAGGTTTGACCATGTCATCCCCTACTCAATAAACTCTGGTGTCTCCAAGTTTTCCCTAGGATCAAATATTGACTCCTCTGTTTGTCATTTAAAGCTCTTTACAGATTAGTCTGTTTCTTCCTCCTTTTGCAACCGTCTTTACACATTTCTCCCCTCTGTGTATTCTAAGGATTGGCCACACTAGGCTACTTGATGCTGTTTATTCTACACAATGGTGGGTTTCATCTCTGTGCCTTTGCACTGGCTCTCTGTACCTCATTCCTGGAACGTCCAGCTGACCTTCCCATCTTAAAATCCCTAGCTCTTTTCAAGCCTCAGTTCCAGCACCATCTTCTGGAGGAGGCATTTCCTGGTGCCCCAACCCATACCTCCCAACCTCCTGCTAGTGGTTCTCCTCTAAAGTTACCTCGTATCTACACTAGGGCAGCTAGGTGGTTCAGTGGCTAGAGCAGCGGGGCCTGGAGTCAGGAAGACTTATCTTCCTGAGTTCAAATCTGGCCTCAGACACTTACTACCTATGTGATTCTGGGAAAGTCATTATTTGCCTCAGTTTCCTCATCTGTCAAATGAGCTGGAGAGAGAAATGGCAAACCACTTCAGTATCTTTGCCAAGAAAACCCCAAATGGGATCACAAAGAGTCAGACACGACTCAAAAACATCTACTCTAGATGTGTCTGATATCTAGGTATTATTTACATGTTTTCTCCTAAATTAAAATATAAACTCCTTGAGAGGAGATACTGTTTTTCTTTTTCTTTGTAGCCCCAGAACTTAGAATAGTGCTTGGCATATAGTTATTGCTTAAGAAATGCCTATTTATTGATTTGTGGATGGATGGAAGGTGTGGACACTTATTTGGCATGAACCTCACATCCCTTTCTGAATCCTTTCTCCCCATGTTAGGCCAGCAGGTTATATCTGCCTCTATTTGTATTTTTTGTTTTTAATGCAACTAGAAGCAAAAAGGACAACAGTTCCTGCATAATTGAATTTCAGATTCTTAATCTGATTTGCTCTGCTTTGCCTAATAATGTGGAACATTTAAATGATCCCAATTAAGCCACAGAGTAAATATTTCATTAGCAAGAGTTGGTAGGACAACTAATACCAGGATTATATGGAATGGGTACTCTGGCACCAGCACCAAACCAATAGCCCATCCAATCTTAAGCTTCACTTTGAAGTCAAACATTTCATTTGTCAAAAGCACAGACCTAGGAAGTGTCAGCCTTGGGTTGTGGTTCAGGAAGAGCTGTCTTGGGGGAATTGGGTTAGGCTGGAATAAACCATCTGGGCTCTCTGGGCAAGGCTTGACAATTATACCCCTGGGTGGGGTGGGGGGTATGTAGAGTCTTAAACTCTCTCAGCAACTGCTTACTCTGATACAGTGGATCCCTACATGCCAAAGGCAGTGAGATTTTTCTCTGGGATTTTATAACATATGCAAATAATCAAATGGATCTGTGATCTCATTGTTGTGGACATTCCCTCAGATGATGACGCACATGGCAACCAATCTATGCCTGTGCTTTCTGGGAAATTCTTGTCCTCCCATAATTTTGCTATGGGGAGGAGAGGGGGGCATTCTCACTTCTTCCTTACTGCAAGAGATCAGTGGATCATTCCCACTGTCCACTGGCCATCTCTCATTCTCATCGTGTGATTGGCCTTTCTTCTTTTTCTATGATGGGCCTCTCCATCACTTTTTGAGAAGCTGCACAGTATAGAGGACAGAATGTCAATAAGTCAGTAAGACCTGGGTTCAAATCCTACCTCAGACTCCTACAAGCTGTGCTACCTTAGAAAAGTCACTTACCTTCTATAGGATGAGGGACTCAGTGGCCTTTATAGTCCCCATACATTTCTAACTCTGTGATCTTACAGTGAGGACTGGATTTGTGGTTTTGTCGAATAAGAAATGCCCAGGTTATAAAACTCCCTCTACCATTGCTGGGTAAGACCTTCACTGCAACTTAAAGTCTTAGAGAATTGTTTGGGCTACTTGGTAAAGTGACTTGGCCAGGGTCACACAGCAAATAAGTGTCAGAAACCAGCCTCAAACCCTGGTCTTCCTGGCTTGAAGGCCAGCTCTCCACCCATTATTCCCCACTGGTTCTTAAATGATGCCTGCCAGGGGTTAGGATACTGATTCCTAATTCATTAACACCTAGCTCATTAACAGTGCACCTGCCTGTGGTGTGTAAAGGCCACTTTGCTTGCCTCCAGTTCTGGCTCTGTTGGTGGGTGTGGCTTATTCGGGCTGCTCTGGGCAGAGGTGGTGGCAGAGGGTCACCTCCAGATTCAAGTAAACAGACCAGTAGTTGCAGGCAAGTAGGGACTTCCACACAGGAAGCCTACAGGCAAAGTAACGGGACTTGGCGCAGACAGCTCAGTGGTACAGCATGGTATGATCCATGATCTGTAGACAGAGGCTGGTTGGTCTCATGTATGAACCGTGAAGGATTAGAAGGTGCTTCCTGGGTGCCAGGGAGAGGCTCCTAGCCCCAAAACCACAGCTCTTTCCCTTCCACCCCCATCCCCACCCAGAGCCTACCTACCAAAGGGCCAGAAAGATATTCAAAGCTCTCTCAGTCTGGGCACTGGCTGGTGAGAGCCAGAGCTGCCTTCAAATTTGCTCCATCCCAGCTCTTTCCTCCCCTCCCCATGATTAAATTTCTTTCAAACCTGAGTAGTAGTAGTTATTAAAATTTCAGATTTTCCAAACTACTCTTTTAAGACCTGGAAATGATATTCTTATGTTTTAATTTCTTCTATAGATCATAAACATAGATCTGGAAGGGACCCCAGAGACCATCTGATCCAATCCTCTCATTTCACAGATGAGGAAACTGAGGAACAAGGAGGTTAAATGATTTTCCCATGGTCATGTGGTTAGTAAATGTCAGGAGTGGCACTTGAATACAAACCTTTCCGATTCAGGAGTCTACCACGTTACCTTATAGCTTTTTGGCAATAACCAGAACTTAAAATTAGAGTAGAGCCATGTGAAATAGTGGCGGGGAGCTAATGACCTCAACCATCTGGAGAGGGCATCTGTGGAATGCCACCCCCCAACCCTGACGCCATGTTAACCTGTTGCTGTTCTAGTCATGTCTGTGCCCAGGGCCCACAGACAACCTTCTCCTTCCAAAATTCTGGACACAGTGTCTAAATTATATCTTTTCTACTGTAAATCACCTCAGGATGTGCAGGCTCTAATTGATGGGTAGGAATGTGGAGGTCTATTTTAGGGAAAGCTTGGACGCCTGGGACAAGAATGGATTCTCTTTGCCCCTTTCTTGGGCTTGGCTCAGCTGCTCAGCTGACAGGCTCCAGAGGATAGGCCTGGCAGGGCCTACTTGTGTGTTCTCTGGCTAGATGGACCTCCAGATGAGACTGTGGGAAGAAACAGGGTGGAATACTAGCAATGAGTGCATGGAATACACCCAGTGAGTGCACTGTTTTTGCGTTTTATTTTTATTTTTGTTGTTTTGTTTTTGTTTTTGATGAAAAGTCAAGAGCAGGTCAATGCCAGATGCACTTTTGGCTCATTGACCAGCCTGAACTTGATGACTAAACTACCTAAGTACCAAAAAAGACTTGCCCCATTCCCCCACCCCCTCCCTGTAGCCCACATTTCTCACACACCTAAACCTTCTCCACTGGCCACTGGGTTTGTTTCAGGAGTGATTTTCCAACTAGCCACATATTCCTGGTTTCCCAATGCCTGGCTTGTCCAAGTATCATTTGCTGAGAATTAATTGAGCATTTGGAGTGGTTCATGTGTTTTTATGAAACCTACAAAGCCATTCCCCCCCTCTCCTCCCCCCACTCCCCAAAAAGGGGAAAGCAGCAGATGAGACATCAGAAAGATTGACTTCAGTTTGAAACTGCTCAACCCTCCAGGTTTAAGTAGGCTCTAAACTTGGCACACACATTTCCCTCATCCCTGAGGAGGGGTGGGGTGGAGAGGAACAACAGGAAAAAAAATACATTACACTGGGCATTATATTTCAGTGACGGAAATAACTCATTTTCATGACACACTATAATAATAGCAAATTATGGTACACAATGAATCCATTCTCATTAAAGTCTCTATGGAGAAAAGCAAAGAATACAAAATGTATACAATTGTTTAAAGGAAAAATGCCATGCAATATAAAAGATATTCTAATCACTATTTCTAATTACAAAGAAGAGCAAATCACTAAAAATTTTTTACAGCATCTAATTATAAAAAAGCTAGAACTACAAAATAACTCTCTATAAAAATTAATAATGAAGGACTTGCAATCCACTAGACTTGCAATGGAAAGGGGCAGCTTGTGCCTTATGTATAGCAAGATATAGTGGAAGAAACACTGGATTTGGAATCAGAGGTTTGGGGTTCAAATTTTGACACTCTCACTCACTACTGGTGTGGCCTTAGGTGAGTTACAGCCGCCTCTCCAACCTTCAATTTTCCTGTCTATAAAATGAGGAACTGGATTAGACGCTTCACTATAATCCCAAGGAAGGCTTTGAATCTAACCTTAGCCAGGTCAGGAAGGTAGTATGCTTTTGTTGTTTTGATCGTTTCAGTTGTATCCAACTTCTTGTGCCCCCATTTGGGGTTTTCTTGGCAAAGAGCCTGGGCGGGTTTGCCATTTCATTCTCAGCCCGTTGTACAGATAAGGAAACTGAGGCAAACAGGGTTAAGTGACTTGCTCAGAGTCACATGGCTATTAAGTGTCTGAGGTCAGGTTTGAATTCCAGCCTTCCTGACTCCGGGCCTGATATTCCATGTACTGCACACCACTACGAGGGAAAAAATGCTCTTTGGATCCAAATCTCATTTCTGCCACTTACCACCTGTGTAACTTTGAGAAAGCCTCTTAACGTCTGTGTTCAACTATGCCTCAGTTTGCTCATCTGTGAAACAAGGGGGAGAGGATTGCAATAGATGAAGGGCTACTGATTTGTCCTATTTACTCAGCAGATTCGGAAGACAAGATACCTCACAGACTTCCCAGCAAAATGGTTTCAGAAAAATCTGAGTTAGTAATACTTTCCATTTGTTTATCACTTTTAACTTCAAGTTATCTTCAATTCTACAAGCATATATTTAGCACCTACTATGTGCCAGGCATAGAGGCAGCATTATAGTAGTGGACAGAGGGCTGGCCTCAGAGTAAGGAAGACCTGAGTTCAAGATTAACCTCTCACCCCTTCTGGCTGTGTGGCCCTAGGCAACTCACTTAATAATTTCATCCCCCAAAATTCTTTAATATTTTAAGATTCAGCACAGCTGCTGACCTGAATTGGTATAGAAGGAATTTCCTTACCGGGGAATTCCTTACACCAATGAAATCATAGGTCTGGCTTAAAATAAAAATGTACCAGGTGCTATGCTAAACCCTGGTTTCTAAGGTGCTTTTTACATGCATCATATCTTTTGGTCCCCACAACAATCCTTTGGGGGATTATAATCTTGCTCTTAAAGATAAGAAAACTGAGGCACAGAGAGGTTTAATGGCATGTCCATAGTCACCTCACTAGGAAGTATCAGATGTGAGATTTGAAACTAGGTCTTTTCCTTATTCAAAGTACATTGTCCACTACACAATGCTTCCCATGTTGCCATATTTTATCTCATGTGTGCCTTACAATATGCCTATGATGCTAGTTGGGTAAGCATCATTATTTCCATTTGACAGACAAGTAAACCAAGGTACAAAAAGAAGACTTAGCTGCTCTGATCAATACAATGATACGTGACAATTTCAAAGGACTCATGATAAAAAATGCTATCCACCTCCAGAAAGAGAACTGATGAACTCTGAGTGCAAATTGAAGTATTTTTTCATTTTTTATCTTTCTTGCTTCCCCCCCAAAAAATGGCTAATGTGGAAATATATTTTGCATGACTTTATATGTATAATAGGTATTATATCTTGCCTTCTTAATGGATAGGGGAGGGGTGAAGGGGTGGAGAGAATTTGAAACTAAAAAAAAATGAATGAATGAATAAATAATTAAATAAAAATAAAAACAGAATAAATAAATAAATAAGATACAGAATAAATAAAAATACAGAATAAATAAACAAGATACAGAACATTTCAGTGATTTTCTCACGGTAACATAACAAATTCAAGGTCACAATGTCTGAGCTAGGGTGAGAACTTGAGTCACCTCATGCCTAGTTTGTATCTCTTTCCATTGCACCTGATTGCAATCTTGCCCTTCCTGCTTGAGCCCAAGTGAAGTCGGTACAATACATCCTTGTTGGCAGTTACCCGGCCCGTCTTCTGCTCCAAAGACCCAGCTCATACAAGGGTGATCCTCTAGTTTATCTGCACCCCTCCCCCCACTGCCTCCAACACCACCAGCAGCAGCTCTATAGAAAACTGGGCTCTGGGCTTTCCTTTTCTGGATTGCTCAATTTGGTCCTACATGCTTTAGGACACCTTTCAGAAAGCTGTCAGAATTACCACAGAGGCCAACTTGTGCCTGGGCCTGCAGACAATGCTGCTCACCTGTCAGTCCCACCCAGGGCTGGCGGAGGGGAGGCATAGCCCTTGGAGAGCACATAGCAGGAGGAGCACCAATGGAATGCCTTTGTTCCAGCTCAGACCATGACATCTCTCGCCTTCTGATATGGGGCTTATCCTGTCCCTTCTTCTCAGCCAGGTCCTAGAATCCTAGAATATCTAGCTGAAAGAGACTTTAAAGATCAAAGAGTGATAAAACCAGAGATAGAAGGACCCTCAGAAATCATCTACTTCAAAATCTCTCATTTTACAGATTTGGAGACTGAGGTCCAGGGAGCTGAAATAACATTCCCATAGTCTCAACAAGTGGCAGAGCTGGGATTTGAACCCAGGTGCTTTGACTCCAAATCCAATAGACTTCCCAGGGCCCCCACTCTAATCTTAGTTTACAAGTGCCTCCACCCTCTCCCATTTTATAAAGGAGAAAATTGAGGCCAAGGGAAAGGAAGAAAATTTCACAGAATCACAGAGTATGAGTTAGGAGGTACCTCAGGGGTCATCCAGTTTGACCTGTCCCTAGACAGATACAACACCTGTTAATGGGTGATCATGTGGTCTCTCCTTTAAAATTTCTAGTGAGGAGAAACCAGCTGCTTCCAGAGGCTGTCCATTTCACATTTGGATATGTTGAGTTGTTCTTCATTATCTGAGATCTTAGGATCATAGATTCAGAACTAGAAGGGAGCTTGGAGCATTTGCTGCACAAGCTTGCCAATTTCCTCCCATGATTGGAATATTAAATACTCTGAAATGCCCCTTTGAGTCACATCTATGGTACTGCAAGTATAGTTCTATCTCTGACAGGGCCACCAGGACACAGTTTGTAAGAGAGCCCGGTTACCCTCTTTTTTACTAACCCTATAAGGTGATGAATATGAATACCATTTTTTAAAAATGTCATCTTTTGTTTTTATATCACATTTATTTTCAAATATACTCTTCTCTCCTCCTCTGCCCAGTGAGTCATTTCACTTGTAACAAAGAGTAAAAAGAAAGAGCAAGGCAAAAGTTCAGCAAAATCATTCAATGTGTCAACCAAGTTCTACTGTATATGTGATATTCCATACCATAGTCCCTCATCTTTGCAAAGAAGAGGGTGAAATACATTTGTTTGGCAATTCCTCCCCTTTTCTGCCTACTATTCTTTTCCTTTTCTCCCTCTCCCCCCCATTCTTTCTGTTTACATTGTCCTAGTGTTTGTAAATATTGTTTTCCTAAACCAATTTTTTAATCAGAAAGCCCATGATTCCCAGTAATGCTTTCAATTTTCCATCTCCCCTATTTTCTGCAGACTATATTATGGACAGATCCTCCACGGTTGGATTCTCTGCTCTGGAAGTCCATCATGAGTAGTCAGTCCCTTGACAGAGTTTACTCCTCTCCAAACAGGGAAGAAGTATCCACTCCTGGCTCTGTGTCAGCATTCTCCTCTCTTTGTGCCTCCAGTTTCCCTATATTTGGAGTAAAGAATCAACCTTTAACTCTTTTCGTGAGCCTGATGATGATATTGATAACACTAGGGTACAAAAGACAATTAGAAGAGAGTCTGAGAGTTCTGGGAGTCAAGATGGTGGAATAAGCAGTAAATCTCTATAATTCTCCCATATTCACCTGCAAACAATTATAAAATAGTGTCCCAAAACAAATTATGGAATAGCAGAACCAGCAAAAAAATGGAGTGAAACAATCTTTGAGCCCAAGAAACTTAGACGATCAGCAGGAAAGGTCAACCTCACTGGGGTAAAAGGGGAGCAAAGTCCAGGATAGGAAGCATCCCAGCAGCAAGCCCCACCTCAGCAAATCAGTAATAGATCCTGAGCCCCAGTGTGGTGGCGCATGCAAACACCAACACCAGGACCTCCAACATGCCTCAGCATAACAAAGGGAATGGGCAGACTCTAGCTCTGAGAACCGCCATATGCCTCAGCATAGCCCCTGGCAAATAGGCAACCTCCAGCTCTGAGAACCACCATGTGCTTCATGTAGTCCTAGGCAAACAGGCAGCCACCAGTGGTCAGAACACCATGTGCTTCAGTATGTCCCCAGGAAATGCAGAAACACCCCACTGGCCTCAGCATGCACCAGATACCAGCACTAGGACCCTGGCTCAGCACCAGGTAAACTGCCAGGACTCTCTGTCCTCAGCAGCACCAGCCACTCCTCCACCCCAGCCCCTCAGTATGGCACCAGACATGAGGGTCCCCTGTGGGTGTCAGGGCAACATCATTACAGCACCAGGTAAACAGCCAGTGCCTGTAGCCCCTGGCACAAGAACCCTGAGATAGTGTCCCTTCCACCTTGGGAGCAGAGCTCAGATTTAAAAGAAAGGAAAAAGGCCAAAAAAAGAATCTGACCATAGAAAGTTGTTATGAAGACAGGGAAGATCAAGACACAAACTCAGAAGAGGACAATAATGGATAGGCCTTATGTCTCAATAATGCACCCATTTTGACTTTATCTTGGTATGTGGTTTGAGATGTTGGTCTATACCTAATTTGCGTCCCATTGTTTTCCCAGAAATTTTTGTTAAATATTGAGTTCTTGTCCCAAAGGCTGGGGTCTTTGGGTTTATCAAACACTAGGTTACTATGGACATTGACTAATGTGTCTTGTGTACCTAATCTATTCCACTGATCCACCACTCCATTTCTTAGTGAGTACCAAGTAATTTTGATGATTGCTGCTTTATAACATGATTTGAGATATGGTATTGCTAGGCCATCTTCCTTTGTATTTTTTTCATTAATTCCCTTGCTATTCTTGATCTTTTGTTCTTCCAGATGAATTTTGTTATTTTTTCTAGCTCTGTCAATTGGAAATTGAGAGGATGCCCGTCAGTTGGGGAATGGCTGAACAAGCTGTGATGTAGGAATGTAATATAATACTGTTGTGCAAAAAGAAATGAGGAGCAGGCAGATTTCAGAAAAACCTGGAAAGACTTGCACAAACTGATGCAAAGTGAAATGAGCAGAACCAGAAAAACACTGTACACAGTATCAGCAACTATGAATGACTCAGCTCTTCTCAGCAACACAATGACCCAAGACAACTACAAAGAACTCAGAAAGAAAAATGCTATCCACATCCAGATAAAGAGCTGATGAATTCTGAATGCAGATCGAAGCACATTTTTTTTTCACTTACTTCACTCTTTTTCATGTTTTTTTTTCCTTTTGATCTGTTTCTTCTTTCACAACTGTGACTAATATGGAAATATGTTTTACATGATAGTACACGTATAACCTATATCAAATTGCCTACCATTTTCAGAAGAAGGGAAGGGAGAGAGGGAGGGAGAAAAATTTGCAACTCAGAATCTTGCAAAAATTAATGTGAAAAATTTTCTTGACATGTAACTGGGAAAAATTAAAATACCATAAAAAGGAGAATGAAAGAAAGAATGGGCATATGAGATCACCAAAGCAAAGCTGGGAGCTTAGAGGTCATTTTGTTTAAACCCCTCATTTTACAGAGAAGGAAAGTAAGTCCGAGGGAGGTTAAATGAATTACCCAAAGTCAGACAGGTAGCATCAGAGGCAGGATTTGAACCAAACCCTTTGAATCCAGACCTGGTACTCTTTCCACTGTGCAATCTAACCTCCATTCAAGTTGTTATTAAGGGAAAGAGCACGTGGTATGATGTGAGCTGTGGTCCTAGAATGCAGAGACATATTTATGTCCTAGCTCAAGTTAAGCTTGGAAAACTGGCTGCAGGACCCTGGAAAAGTCACTTTCCATCATGTCTTTCCTTATAAAATAGGAATAATAATTCTGACTCTAACTTCTCTCTCAGTGAGAATCAGAGACCACTACAGTTAGAAAAAAGTCCTTACACACTGGTCAGTCCAGTACTCTCTTAGCTGACACCTGGGACTTGTTTGGGCCCTTAATTATAGCTCTCTTACATGGTTCCATATGGTCTAATTTTTTTTTCCACCTTTCTCTAGATTGGGAGCTTCCTGAAGACAAACTCCTTGTCTTGCTTCTCTTCCCTCACCATAGTTTGACCCTTAAAGTTCCCCTCCCTTCTTTTTTTCTTCCTTTTCATCTCCTCAGTCAACATCGCAGTCCAGCTTCTTAATGCCTCATACTCATGACTGGTTCCCCTCTCTGGCACTGCACTGAACCCACAGTAGTTGTTAAAGATCACTGACTTGGAAGTCCAAGGGTCTGGGTTCAAATCCTGGATCTGCTTCTTATTATCCAAATGACCTTGGGTAAATCATTTAACCTCACAGGGCCTCAGTTTCCTCATCTGTAAAATGGGGAGCAGGGAGGATTAAATGACAGCTAAGGCACCTTCCAGCTCTAAGCCAGAGATCCTATGATGAACTGAGTTGAGTTTTTCTTCTCATCATTCCAATATAGTTTTCAGCAATTACCCCAAAGAAAGTCTTGGCCTATCAGCTCTTCCCTGTCCCCAGGCCCTTTATCTGCTCTCCCACCACCAGGAGACCCCACCTCACCTCTCTATCCCAGCCTCCACAGTCCCTCCCTTCCCTGAGAGCACCTTGCAAGGGGATACTCCCTAATGGTCACAGCCTGGTGACAAAATATTGCTTTACAGTGATAAGCATCTCGTAAGACAATATTTGGAAAGTTATCATCTTCACAGCTCTAGTTAAAGAGGTGGGGGAATATGTGGAGGAGCCAGATCTCTGCTCATAGCCAGCAGTAGAGGGGGGCAGGCTACATGAGGCTTGGCGGGGGGGGGTTGGGGAGAGCTGGATGCCTGGGCTTGACCATCTAGTGGTTTGCAACGGATAGATACAGGCACCACTGATAAGGTCTAATCAAAACCAAAAAGAGACGTAATTAAAATTCAGCAGTGCAAATGGAAAATTCAGAGAGGGAGTGAACACTGAAGCAACATGCTTTCAGTAACGACATCTCAAATAATGACTGTTCTCCCCAAAGGTTGTTAATGTTTACATGGCTTTAGGCTTGGGAAAGTTATTTCATAGAAGAAATCATTGCAGCATTTCTATTGTCTGCTTCAGACACATGCTGTGTGTCCTTTCCCTGGAGAAGGATTTTGGGACATACTGTAGAGCAGCTGAAATATTCTCAGCCACTCTCACTTCCAAGTAAACTTTGTGAAATAAAATGCCTACTGTGTATCTATCAAGGCTGACAGCTAAATAGACTGTCAAATCGACTCCGAATGGTAGACCTGGGAGGGACAATAGAGATGATTTGATTCAATTTCCTTTCTTAACAGATGAGGACACTGAGACCTAGAGAGGGTGAGTTTCTTGCTCAAGGCTGCACAGCTTGTCAAGAGCAGAGGTAGAATTAGAATCCAGGTCATTTTATACCTAATTCAGTGTTCTTTCACTACATTACACTGCCCTGCAGGTATAAAAAAAATTTACAAAAAACATCAATACCTGCCTTCGAGACAGATAAACTGAATTCCTGTTCTGGTTTTACCTGTTATAGCTGTGTGACCTTGAACAAGTCACTACACTTCCATTTTCTCATCTGAAAATATGGACAATAATTCATGTGCAGACAGTGGCATGTTATACTGGGGAGATTATTGGACTGGGAATCAGGAATTCCTAGGTTCAAATCCTATTTGTGATTCTTACTAAGTCTGTGATTTGGGCATTGTCATTTACCTAGGCCTAAGTTTTCTCATCTATAAAATGAAGGCATTGGACCTGATTTTCTCCAAAATCCCCTGCAGCACTAAATCTAACGCTTCTACAATCCTAAATCACTTAATTCCTCTGAGCCCCAGTTTCTTCATCTGTAAAATGAGGATAGTAGGTATCTTACAAGGCTGTAGAGTAAGTCTACATAAGATAATGAATATAAAATGCTGTATAAAGTATTAATATTATTATTATTACTTATATTACAGTACTCAAATGTGATAGTGGATGTAAAGTGTTTTCTAACCATAAAGTACAATATAAACACAAGATGATACTTCTGTCCAGAACTGGATCTTTCTAGTCTTGCCACCCCCTGCCTTTAGCTAACGTTCCACATTGCAGTTTAGTCCCTGGCTCTCTAAACATCTCACTCTGACTGCAGTCTCCAGCACAGTCTCCCTCTATGAATGTTTATGCTTGAAAGGTAAATGTTCTCTTTACCTGAATGCACACTTGTCCAGAAATCTCTCTGTCTCTCTCTCTCCCTCTCCATCTCCCTCTCTCTCTCTCTCTCTCTCTCTCTCTCTCTCTCTCTCTCTCTCTCTCTCTCTCTCTCTCTCTCTCTCTCTCTCTCTCCTGTTGTCAGTAGCCAGATTATATTTCATCTGGATTATTATTATTTTTAACCACTTTTTGACTAGAGGGAGCAAATGACACCCAGAGAAATTGATCCCAGCTTGACTTCTGGGGACAGTGTTGCCACGTAGACCGCACTCATCCATCCTGCCATAACTTCCACCTCTGTGGTGATTAGGAAAATGATGCCACACATGTTCTCAGTACAGCAGTTCCCTGGTAACAACAAGCATTAGCAGTAA